GCTACGGGCCTGATTGGTTTGGAATGAACTTGGTCTGTACTGTAAATTACATGCAAGGCTGAAAATTCTCCCCATAAAGTATTAAGGTGGTTGGATATTCTGTGTGATTTATTCTGTATCCAATGACTTGGGAAGAAGTGCCTTGACCATTAAAAATTTTATTTGTAGCATTCATACAAATGCTAGTAGGCTACCGTACATATTGTACCATAATACTATAAGGTTTATTAACTCTGTCTTTGTGTGCGAGTGCCTTGACTTATTCTTGCCTTCAATTTTATTTTTATGTATACATTGTTTTAATTATCAGTGTAGATAATGACTTTCATGCAAGTTGACTATGATTTTGTTGAAATTTAATTATGCAATCATTAAGCAATGGTACATATTTCTTTAGTCTACTTGAAATGAAATAAAGCAGTTTGTAACCTAAATAACTGATGCTGAATTATTAAAACAAACTTGTGCCCAATTGTCAATTGGTTTTTAACACTTTATTTCTTTTGTGTCCCGACAGCAAATACTTTTTTCCACTTACAAAATAAAATACTGTAAATGTTATGCTGTTCTCTGTAAATTTCAAGTCTAACTAGATTTGAACTCGTCACTGAGGACGAGTTAGGTGATCCGCCGCACTTTGACCCACGAGGAAGTGTGCGCGGTTCGGATTGAACAATATTTAAATGCTGATAATGGAAAAATACGCTAATTTAGTTTGTTAAAAAGCATTTTGAGTATTTTAAAAGATTTACTCATGCGTACGCGCACGTCATGACGCACGTGCGCATCTTAATGTCACTGTTTTCTCCTAATATGAGATATATATGTATCAACTTTCATTGACAAATGCCTGTTGGTGAAGGAGTAATGATCATTCATAGTATTTATCATATATAAAAATTTCAGTTTTTTTACTTCAGATGGCAATATGGTGACATCACAATGTCCGATCAGCCATTATGATATATAAAATCATATCTACAACTCATGTGCTTTTAGAATATGTAATAAAAATTGGGGGTCACCTTTCATCCTAAAGAGCTATATTTGATTATAAATAAGCATAATTATAAGCATATGTAATTTTTGACGATATGCGTACGCGCACGTTAAGATGTGCAAATAAAAAAGTAAGATACCTTACATTACACCTTGACCTGAAGTATAAGCCCATTTTATATTATTCAGAAATGACGAATGATAAGATGATATGACGTCATCAACGTTTTGAGAAATGAAATATTAAAAAAAAAAATTCAGATGGCAATATGTTGACGTCACAATGTCCGATCAGCTATTATGATATATAAAATCATATCTACAGCTCATGTGCTTTCAGAATCTGTAATAAAATTTAGGGGTCACCTTTCATCCTAAGGAGCCATAACTGATTAAAAAAAAGACACGATATAAAGCATATATTAATTTTGACGCACGCGAACGCTCGTGTTATTACGCGCACACAAAAATATAATGTACATAACATTTAACCATGACCTGAATTTTATACCCACTAAATATGATTCAGAAATCATGTCTGTTTAAGGTGATTGTGGGGTCATCAAAGGCTTGACAAAAGAAAGATGAGGGGGTAAGCAAAACCCTATATTTTGACCATGATGACGTCATCAAAACGTAAAAAAATGCCACATATATGAAAGAGAATTGCCTCAGCTACAACATACTCAAAGTTGGAAGACAATCGATCAAGAATAAGCGAGATATGCTCAAATGCGCATTTGCTAAATTGAGGTCATCGATAATATTCAGTTTGTTGAATTCAGATGGCAATATGATGACGTCATAATGTCCGATCAGCCATTATGACCTATAAAATCATATTTACAACTTGTGCTTTCACAATATGTAATAAAAATTGGGGGTCACCTTTCATCCTAAAGAACTGTATTTGTTTAAAATTAGGCCTGATTTTAGCAAAATTTCACTGTATATCGGCACAAATGCGCACAAAGGTTACTATGTTTGATGCGTGCGTACGGCATTGTTATTGGCCATAGAGTGATTGAAAAGATTGGAAACTTGTCAAAACAATGTCAGGAACCCTAAATGTGACAAAAAATCAATTTCTAGCTTCCATACGTGCTGAGCACTTCAAAATGCGCACGCGTAGTGGTAAATTTTTAAAAATTTTGAAATGCTCAAAATGGCCTGAAACATGCTCTAATTTAATCTAAATGTGATTTCGAGCATTTTAAAAGTTTGACACACATGTACGCGCGCGTTATGACGCGCACGCGTAAAATTAGGGTAAATTACATTTAACATTGACTTGAAGTTAATGCTCACTTAATACGATTTCGAAATGACAATTGGTTAGGCTGATATGATCGATAATGTAAAAACGCAAAATTGCGCGTAGATGACGTCACGCATAATTGTGCACTTTGAAAACCTTATTGTGACTATTCCAGGTCAAGCTAAATGTTTGTTGCAGCGTGCATGTATGAATCTCGTGCCAATTTTTAGATATCGTGCTAACAAGAAATGGGGAGAACCTAGAATGAAAAAAAAAAAAGATCTCGGACAATGACAAGAGGTGATCCGCTAGCGAAGCGGATCACCAATTATGAAGCAGGGGAGTGAAGTTGTTTTAGGGATACAAATTCCTGTTCCTATACAAAAATGAGATGAAGAATCTTGAAGCTGCACTCCAGGAATGGTAGTACATATCCAAACACTGCGGTACCGGAAATTGGGGCGCCCTTTGGACCGCAGGTAAGCATGATAATAACCCATCCCGAAATTTTTCAAATTATATTTCTAAAAATGGAGAAAAATATTTATATTCAAATTTAAATCTGAGAGTGCCATTTCTGACCATCTAGAGGTGCCATAATCATAAATTTTCTAGCCCCTCCCTGGGCCCCTTTATTTCGAACTCCTGGCCAAGGTTCCTATGCGGGCATTCGTGAAATATTGCACTACTGTATTTGTGATGATGTAAACTTGGCAACAAACGAAACCAGGGAGACCTCAAGTGTTAATCCAGCAGTTTCATTTTTATTGTTAAGCGCATCGAGGCTTTAGCATAATGCGCTATTTAGGCGAAAATTATTATTATTATTATTATAATTATAATTATAATTATAATTATTATTATTATTATTATTATTATTATTATTATTATTATTATTTTATTATTAATCCTGGCATCAGGTTTTTTTGTTCTGCTTGTTTAGTGCCAATGATAAAAAGGTGTAGTAGCTGTGGCGGCTGTAGGATATATTTTCTAGGGGCCGGGCTGTTCGACAGGGCGACTAGAGCTTGGTAGGCCGGAGCTGGTGGAAGATTTTGAGGTGTTCCCCTTCCAAATGAGATATTTTTAAGAATATGAGCCTCTGGATGTCCAGAAATGACACTCAAGACACGTTGGCTTGGCATTGGCCTATTCTTACATTTGTTTTAGTCCAACTGCTCTGTCTGATGGGTGGGGGTTTGACCTGTCCGGTGGGGCCCCTACATTAACTATGGGTCTGAGCCAACAATGGTTTCACTATACCGTACTGTACACGCGTAGTCTAGCTTCCGATAGAAGCTGCAAAAGGATTATCCTGTCCAGTATCAAGTTTGTTGTTATCAAACCACAACACAATTCTATGCTGTGAACCTTATCCAAACCAGTTATACTGAATTGAAGTTTTTTTAGTTGAGATGAAGCTTTCTGTCCATACTACCCAGGACAGTCCATCACATTTAGACAGTCAGTTGGACCATGGAGGTATAAAAATTTTTAAAAATCTATTTTTATACCTCCATGGTTGGACAATGAAAGTAAACAACATTCCGTAAATGTTTTCCTCTTATCATACAGTTTACTAGTCTTTTCAAGGGTAGGGTATTGTCTTTCATTTTAGTGTCTTTAATATTTGTCAAAATAGAAAATTATTAAATACTGCGCGACGTCATATCCAGATTTACTTGGGTACGGACGTTCATAACGAACACATATCTGGAAAGTTGCTTTTGCCTGTTAACAAAAAACAGCGCAACATACATGTCACATACATACATACATACATACACACGAAGGGTATCCTAAAGGTTCCATTGCTTGAAACCATGGAACCAAAAAATGAAAGACGACGATAAATTTCAACTATTCAAACATAATTTAAGGCAAGCTATGCAAATTCATGCAAGATACTTGGTATCGGTGGAAGATGGAAACCACCTTACACAACTATGTAATTGAAAACAAATATAGTACTACTGTATGTGCTGTTGTACAGATGTAAATAATTTATTCCAAATCAAATGATCAAAAATATTTATAGACATTACATGCCATGCTGTATCGATAAACTCTATACCATATACTGTATCTTCATCCTAAATGTAGAAATTAAAACTTAAATTTACAGTATTGCAATGCATTTTAATATTATTATTATTATTTTATTATTAAGCCATTCCAGTATAAAATCATAAAAAAATCTTGACAAAAGCAGGAACAGCACAACGCACCATGTGACATCCATGTCCTACTAATTTGTTAGCATTCTATTCCATTCCAAACACAAAAGCCATGGCAGGGGTCAAAGTTGAAAGAAGTCCCTTCTGGGATCTGGTTAAGTGAGCTTTCTCAACATGTATGCAAATATTATGAATTTATCTTCCGGGAAATTCTTGCTTACTTCAGTGCAAGGGGGGGGGGGCATCCCAATTTCTCGGAGACACCCTTCCCCCTCCCGCCCATAGCATGTTTTCCCATAGTATTCATAAAATAAGATACATGACAAATATCTGAGTGGCACTAGGGTGCCGACACAGACCAAGTAATTTTTTTTAAAGTGCACTGTGCGTTAAAAATAATCAAATGTACTAATTAAACTAACACCATTAATCAGTCTTGCACAATTAATTTACTGAATGGCATTGTGTAATGCACAATTCATTCATGTCTTTTATGCAACAAAGAAAGCGCAAATTCATAAATATCGAAAAATAGTACATTGCTGGGAATTTCAGTGCCGGGTACTCCACCCTGATGTGTTCACTGTTAAATTCACTTAAAAAATATTTCAGAATCCAAGACTCGTTTTTAATGTCCAAGTTCTACAATTTTGCATGCTACAATTTACACAAAGAATACTATCATGGTAAATTTGATCATTGGGGTACTATAATTACCTCCATGGTTAGATTCATAACCTTATTAGTAAGATATTGTTTGAAAGCTTACTATAATTGCATGAAAAAGCCTGATTCACATAAATTAATTTCACTAATTTCATAAAGATAAAAGTAATGTAATGGTTGAAATACTGAATGTCACACACTTAAACACACAATTAAAATCTTAAAAAGTTATTCTTTACAACTAATTAGGGCACAGGTGGGCAAAGTGCGGCATGCAGCTGGCCTGACAGCAATATTTTTACGGCCCACGAAAATGAAGTGAAAACCCTATGTGTGCGGCCCTCCAAGCAACATTTGCTGTAAAACACATTGGCCCTCTGAACGACTTTTATGCCCACCCCTGAATTAGGTCAATATTTTCCATTCAGTGTCCCAAAATACCTTACAAATGCCTTATACTGTAGCAAGTCAATAACTATGGTACAGTATATTTATAAGAATACTCTAGGTCCCAGACGTAGACTACATTCATGTTCTCTGCCAAGATCAGGCTAACCTAAGCATAATTTCTTCTCTAAATACTGTACCTCAAATATTTCTACAATAGCATGTTTTTACAGGCATCCACAAACCTAATGAAATTGTCCTTAGTCTTCAGATTAAATCTGTTTACCTCTTACAATTACTAGCAATTAATTTTGCCAAGCATAATTTTATAATTAATCATATCTTTATATAGCATGGTCGTAATGCATGCTCAGAGATGCTGAAGAGAGGTCAACTTATAATTTAAACACCAAGTACAGTAAAATGTAATGGCAATATTTCATGCAGTGATATAGACAGTAATTGTATATAAATCATTCCTATTATTATTAAATCTCTTGATAAAAACAGAATAATACCCGCTACTACTTGGGCACAGGCTTGGTGGTCTAGTGGTTAAGACACCAGGCTACATATTTGAAGGTCGTGGGTTCGGTTAACACCCAAATCACTTAGGAGATTATATTCACAAGTATTGGAACATATCGAGCATTCAGTATGATGATAACAAGTCAGGTAGGGTAAAACATCATTCCTAATAATCCGATCGCATATAGCAACAAGCAATAATGTTGTAGCAATAGGCAATAATCATAGGTCATAATAATAATTGACATGAAAATATTGTAAATTTAACAGCTTTCCAGAGCTTCTTGCATAATTTGAATGCCTTTTCCGAAGTCCATACCTTTAAAAACTTGCTGTAGTTGGCTAAGTACAGAATGTTCATCTAAATTTTTATTCTTTTGAAAATAAACATCCAGGACTTTCTTGGTGGCACTGAAGCCAGGTTTCCGAGAGTTGCTTTCAATGTATGTAATCTGTTCACTTTTTAAGTTTAATGACGTCGCTAAGCCTCGCCAGTCACCATTCATATTTGGTGATGGGATATCAAGGGCCATGCACAGCTTATGGAATAGTCTGGGATTCAGAAACCTTGCAGAATTGGGTAATGGACTGTGTTCTGCAGACATTGTGGAAAATATATCAGCATATGATGCACCTGCTAAATCCTGATGGAAAAGACAATAAGGAAAATATGAAAGGTAAAATCAGGTATACAATAAAATGAAATTTGGAATGAAGGTAGGTCTAGAGAAGCCTACACAAATAAATATAGACAGATTATCCATTTTGAAAATTAAATGCACAAAATACATATTAGCTGAACCAATCTACAGTATTTTAATACACATGTAAAGCAAAAGTACGAGTTTGAGACTACTACAGTAGATATTTATTTGATAGTGGTGGATTCAAGGGGAGAAATAAAAAATTATATTCAAATTTAAGAATGCCATTTCCAGTCACCTAGAGGTTCCGTCATCATGAATTACCTTAGCCCAAGTAGACCCTTCATCTGTGACAGTCCCCTCTCTATTTCAAATTTCTGGATCCACCACTGATTGACACAAGCTTTTGGTTATTCAGTACACAGTGTACTGTGTATATGAAATGCTGTGTCGGTAAAATATCTCAGCCAGTCTCAATTTGTGCTATCTTTGCTTTTATTTATCATAATGAAGGACATAGAAAATTGAGTGTGCTTTTCATTTATGTTGTGAAAGCATCGTAATACAGATATTCAGCATAGAATTTAATCACCAAAAATACATAATCAGGCCTGACCAGGAAAGTCTGGATAAAATGCCTTGAGCACCGAATGTTATCATACAATAATTAAAGACCAACAGTTTATTTTTAAAACATTTTCCCCCCAAAATGCCTCCGGGACATTTATGTTGCCTCCAACCACCGGTCGCACACTTTTTCCAGCCCTGCATATAATAAAAGGAATTTCAAATGTCAGTACACCCAACACATTTATTATTGACATTATAATTATTATTATGATTATTATTATTTGGGACATGCTTCTGACTCATCGAGCCATTTTGAAGTGTAATAAATAAATAAAATGAAAATTAAGAAATTTGACACAATTTTGTAATATAAAAATTGGTCTGAATTTTAGAACTAGGGGTGGTGTTAAAAATGATAGTGTTATTGCAGCTGCTGCCAATGTCGTCATTGTTATTAATATGATTTGGTACATACCATAGAGTCCACTTCAATATCCTGACTCACTGCCTCTAAATTGCTTGATTCATCATCATATTCCATTTGGCGCTGTTTTCGGAGGTTTGTATCAATAGTCCTTTTCATAACATGATCAAAAAACTCATCCTCTCGTTTTATGTTTGCAATAGCTGTCAACTCAAACGGCACCTTTGTCGGATGAAGACCATATAGCACGGGAATAACATTTGACCGTTTCTCTTGAATGGCCAGCTTCAAGGCGGTTTGAAACCTGTTCACTGCCCATACATCTTCCTCGAAGCATGGGGTGAGTAAGAGCACAATATATGTGCTGACATCATATCCACGTTTAAAGGTCTTAAATTCATCTTCACCAACTAGCTTCTCCCTACGTGGAAGAAAAACTTTCCATTGTTGTTTCTCAGCGAAATTCATAAAATCCTTTCGTGCTTCAACTGCACTTAAGCTGCATACGATGACGATGTCAAAATATTCTAAAGGAGTCTGCGACATAGAACTTGATGAGCGACTAATAGACACTGAATTGTCAAATTTCGCTGCACTATCAATTTTTCCATCCTTCTCATTGAAGAATAGTTGAGAATCCAAATCACCTGACATTTCACAACCACTGTCATCCATTGATTATGAAAAAGTTGCTTCAGAATATACTGTGAATCTATAAAAATAATTAATCAGATTATTATTTCACTTATATAACTGATTTACTATTTCAATAATCAAAGAACAATTTATAAGAATAGAAGGTAGATTTTATTTCTTATTTTTATAAAAATTAAAAGCATAGGAAAGTATAATACATACTCCAAGTATTGAAATACACGCCATCGTGTTGGGATTCAATATTTCGACATTAATTATGTCATCATCATTCCTGATGATGACATAATTAATGTCGAAATATTGAATCCCAACATGATGGCGTGTATTTCAATACTTGGAGTATGTATTATACTTTCTTATCTGAGATTAATCAGTGGACCTTTCGGTTTAAAAGCATAGAGTGTTGGAGCTAAAAATATGCTCAATCTTTTTTAATAGCATATTCTCGCGTATAAGACAATGCCTTAAAGTAGCAAATTAACAGGGAGTCATCATATAAAATTATTTGTATTTTTAAATCATGTTGTCTATGCACAGATCATCCATAACACATAAATTTACTACTGAAATGAAGCTACTACTGCAACTCAGTACAAATGAACACAATTTTAAATGCAGGGAAATAAGATTTGATGAACATTTAAAAGCCCATAAAATGGTATCATTTGGAAGATTAGCCCTATATTTGGTTCCGTTGTTAGCCAGCTAGATGCAGTATCAAGACCACAAAAGAGCAGTAAAATGTAGGAATTCCAATGGTTAACAGAAGGGTCACCTTATACGCCCAGCATAAAAAAACTGTCTAAAAATCTTCTCAAACATGGGCGTCATTTTATACGCATATCGCCTTATATGCGAGAATATAAGGTACTACATGTATTGTACTTCAACCTCATGTAAATTGTTATAAGCTACACATCAATTACCTACACACAGTAGTCACTATCAAGGGAAGGAGGCTTAAGGTCCCCCGTTTAGCACAGACCAACCTCCCTGTTCAGCCATCTCATCGGATCAGAATTGAAGAAAAAATTTCACAAGGCTGAAATAAGATTGTAGGCTTACATGAAATACTGTGCAATTTGCACTTTGAAAAATATTTGCAGAGAAATAGGCCCTCAATTTTCAAATGATGACTTTAGGCATAAATTTTTTCCCAAAAGATACTGCGCAGGCCTTATTTTACAGCCTGGGACAATGTGTACGTGTAGGAGCAGTTTAGAGAAAAAATGGCACGGACAGGTGAATAACGAAGTCGGTGCACGGCTGGTAATGCGAATGAGTACTTTAAAATTAATTGTATAGACGGCCGTACAAATAAACACAATAGTAACAGGAGAACATACCATCAACAGCCAATGATGGGCAGAAAATATTAGGAAAAAAAAGAAAACAAAAACTGAAAAAAAAAAAATAGAAAAGCAAAGAAAAATGGAAAAGAAAGAAAAATAGAAAAGAGAGAGTTTTAAAAGAAAAGAAAGTGTTAACAGAAGAAAACATACAGGTTAGAGAATGAAGAGAAAGACCACAACGGAAAGCAAAGGAAGAATCTTTAAAAGCTATTACAATTAATGAAAAATACATGGTAAAATTAATTTGAATTAAAATAAAACAAATTATTGAAAATAATATAATAAATACTAATTAAAGTGTATAATATTACTAATACAACTCTTAAATATTAAATTTTAATAAATAAATAACAACATTTTTCTTTTAAAATATGTCTAAGTCTGCTCGTCACAATATCTACTGTACCTCACACAGAGGAGAGTGGTATGTTCCAATTCTAGCTATTATTTGTATAGCACCTTTCTTTGCAGTACAAAGCGCTTCTGTCCCTGGTCATTGGATCCACATGGTCATTGTAATCAGTACAGGAGCAAGCAACCCCACCAGGTACCCATTTATACTCTTGGGTTGAGAGAAGCAATGCAGATAAAGTGCCTTGCTCAAGGACACAAGCGAAATGTACAGAGAGGGATTGAAACCCTGACCTCAAGGTTGGGAAACCAAACCTTTTATGCTGCACCAAACCGTTTCTAACAGCTAGCTGTTAAATTTAGGCTACATGAAAATAAAGATATATAACCGTCAAAATGCTCACCCCTCTGCGCCAGAATATAACTTAGGCCTGTGCAGGGAATATATCATCCTCACAACAAAGCACTTCTGTCCCTGGTCATTGGATCCACATGGTCATTGTAATCAGTACAGGAGCAAGCAACCCCACCAGGTACCCATTTATACTCTTGGGTTGAGAGAAGCAATGCAGATAAAGTGCCTTGCTCAAGGACACAAGCGAAATGTACAGAGAGGGATTGAAACCCTGACCTCAAGGTTGGGAAACCAAACCTTTTATGCTGCACCAAACCGCTTCTAACAGCTAGCTGTTAAATTTAGGCTACATGAAAATAAAGATATATAACCGTCAAAATGCTCACCCCTCTGCGCCAGAATATAACTTAGGCCTGTGCGGGGAATATATCATCCTCACAAAAATAGGCCTACAAAATCCGCCCGCACATTTCAGAAAACAAGGGCCAATTTCCATGCCGATTTTGCCAAACATTAGGCTTTGAAATAATCTTAATAATAAACCAATGCATCTGCAGCAGTTATGATTCTGCACACTTATTTTCATAGCGATTTCTGCGCAAATTTGAGCTAGTTTTTTTAGGCCTATTTTTTGCGCAATTCACATTCGAAACTTCACAGTGGCGCACAAAATAATGGGGCAAAGAACAATCGGGCCCATTTCCAGATGATTGGGTCAACGCAAAGAATTGTAATTAAAATGATCGATCCATGTATATATTTCAATTTTAGTATTTACTGGTATTCTGGTATACAGTACAGAACATCTAAATGTGTTTTTCCGTTCAATCAATCATAAAATGATTTGCCTCAAAATGATCAGGCCCCCCACACGATCAGGCCCAGGAGGAAGATCACACTATCGGGCTCATTTTCAGGACAATCATTTCTCGCCACCTAGGAATCAAAATTTTCCCGGGGAAGAACCACAGGACCTCCCCCCCCCCCCACCTTTCTTTTTGGGATTTATCGATTCA